GGGGGTTGGGGGGTAGGGGGTTGTTACATTTACAGCTCAAATCCCACACACGGAATCTCCACCTCCAGCTCATGCTATTTTAAACTAAACGGAAGATGAAGAAAAAAGAGACAAAAATTAAATAAAATTGAAACAGAAGAGAAAGAGAAAATGGAAAAGTAAAATATCAAACGACAAATGGGAGGAAAATAGAGTGTATGGCACGTGTCACTCTATTTATGTTGAGAACATGTGGGAGAAGACGGCAATTTCAAAAATTTATTATGTGAACTCTTGGTGACGAAAGGACAAAGTCGAGATCGAAAATCTATCAGAAATAATTTCTCTATCTTATAAACAAATACTAATAAATCGTACATATATTCTCTTCCTTTTCTACAAACATGAAGTAAGTTGGTTCACCTGGACTTGAAGATAAAAAGTATATGAATTAACTTATTTTAAATATTTTTATGTTAAAATAGTTTTAAAAATTGATGTATAAGTCAAAAGTTCATTCAAACAAGCTCGACGAAAGTTTAGTGATCATGAAAGAGGTGAGGGGTTTTTTTTATGGCTATGTTGGGAGAGAGAAGGGCAAAGTGGGAAAAAGGAAAATAAAGAAGAAGAGCATGGCTATCCGTACAATTTGTACGATGATTGAATCATATACTCAATTTTAAAGATTTTTACTAAAAATGGGAATTATAACTTTTGAAAATAACATCTAATGCAATCCAACTTTGACATAAAAAGAAATTTTCAATGAATACGTAAAGACTAAAGGGATGATAATATTTTTTGGTCTCTTAATTATGAGTAAATTTTAATTTTAAACCTTACGATTAAGTTAAAAATGTATGTTTTTTATCCCTTCATGTAAAAATTTATTATGTTTAGATTACTTTTGATTCTTTTAAAAGTATAGTTTTCAGACTAGTTTGTGCACATCTCAACTAATTTTATGAGATATTTCTCTCCATTGACATGTATAAGACAACCCTGTTTACCGAGACTAAAACGTAATAAGAAGAAATTGCCTATTGTTTTTATTTCTTATAGAGTTTGAATATGAGACCTCATGATAACGCATGATTCAGTATCTAATAGAGAACAATTAATACTTTAAAAAAATTGCGATTATTCACAAGTATTATCATAATCAAACACTCAAATTTAGCCTTAATTCTCAAGTAAACACTTCGAGTTTTAGTATGCACATCTAGATATCTTAATTTATTTTTACCGTGTCAGTTGAAAACTCTAATTTGCAAAATGATTATATAAACATTACTAAAATTTATGTGTTACATCAGTATCGAGTGTCCGCAAGACGCAATAAAAGTAAATTGAAGTATTTAATTGTCAATGGAGGCTAAATAAATTATCTATATGTATATTTTCAAAGTTAAAAGTACTTATTTGTTAACTAAAATCAAATTTATATAATTATTTATTGTGCTTGTCATATCACAAAAAGTAAAAGTAAAATTTATCAAAATAAATAAAAGACCGACTGTTGACCTATACCTAAAGAAACAAACCATTTTATTTGTCTCTATCTTAATTTAATTTAATTTAAATCATTTTCCATAAAAGGAATGCTTCATACTACTTACGTCATTTCTACTTCTCTGTAAGGGATATCGTATTAACAACTATATCCCATTTAAATTATCTTTCGTAATTTTTAAAAATAATTATTTATCGTTTTATAGATGCATGGAAAAATTAACTATATTTGTCCATTTATCTTGATAGTATTATTTTTAAATATTATAAATACTTCAATAAAATAAACATTTAATGAAGATATACTATTTATTAAGAGGTTAAAATAATTTGAAATATTTCCTAATTTATATTTACTTTAAAAACATGTAAAACAGAAACACAACAGATAATTTGAGATGCGAAGAAAAATATAGTATAATTATACTCATAATCTTCTTAGCCTTTTAAACATAATTAAACAAATAAAGAATAAAATTAATTTGTAAATAATTCCATTTTATGATCCTTTAGTAGGTTATAATCATTAGATCTTTCAGAGAGTCGTATACACTTTAGTTTAGTTATATATTTTTATTACTATATATGTTGATAAGATTTCTCTTATACATCAATGTTTCTCAATCGACACCAAGTATTTTGAACTTTAAAGGATAATTTGATATGAAAAATGATATAAACAAAGATATTGTTAAATTAGGTTTTAGGCCTAACTCACACCCCAAAAGCTAGCTCAAAGGGAGGAGGATTGCCCAAGCCTTATAAGGAGTCCACCCATCTCATTAACCACCGATGTGGGACTTTTGTCATTCTTTAACACCCCACCTCACGCCCAGTGCTTAGCATCTGGTGCGTGGGCAATTTTGATTTTGGGGGTCCCAACATCGGGTGAGACGGGCCCTGCTCTGATACCATGTTAAATTAGGTTTTAGGCCTAACTCACACCCCAAAAGCTAGCTCAAAGGGAGGAGGATTGCCCAAGCCTTATAAGGAGTCCACCCATCTCATTAATCACCGATGTGGGACTTTTGTCATTCTTTAACAGATATTTTATGGATTATGATATTTCATAAGATTAGTTATCATATAATTTATATCGAAAAATTCATTTCAATTTTATGATGAAACAAATAATTCTAAATTTGATCATTATCTCTAATCAAACGTAGAATAAAATAATTTTATATTTTATTTTGAGATTATTGATTATTCCTTATCCCGTACCAAAAGACCGCCAAAGGTATATATATATATAGAGAATACACCCATTGAGAATCGTATGTAATCTATATATTACGATATGAGACTTCATATCTTTTATGATATCTTATTATATTATTATATAAATTGCTTTTATGTTTAGATTTTGCCAAGTGTCCAGTTGACATATAGGGATTCGAGAAAAAGTTTGACCATGCTGATTTGTGACTTGACCCAATTTTGATGTATCCTTAATTTGATTATTTTATATAATTATTCCATACATTTGAAGACTTTTGAATGCATAACTACAGGAATTTCCGGGATATTTTCTAAGAACATCATTGTTGAGTTTTAGTGAGTCTCTGTTGAAAAAAAGATAAAAGTAATTTTTCATTCAATATTTGATATTTATATTAGAATTTGATTATTTTAGATTCGTGTCATGTGGATTTTATTCGGAGGGAAGTACTTCATATTAAGAATTTTTTCATATTCAGAGCTCAAACTCAAGACCTCGGTGATAATTGAAATTATTGAATTTTGAAGATATGAATTGAATTAACTAACTAACAAAAATTGTTGGAACTTATATTAGAAGTTTGGTTATCAAAATTTGGAGTTTATTTGAAATATTTTGGATCAACCTTGGAGCAAAAATATGTAATTGAAATTTTCACACAACAAATTATATATACTGATCGTTAGAATTAATTTTGTCCATAAGTCTCGACAAATTATCAAAAAATTTAATCAGAATATTAAAAGTATTATGGTGATCATCTGTCGAGGTTTGTGTTTAAATCATAATGATCCTCATAGCTTGCTGTTAAGACAATTTATGATTAACAAAAATTATTTATTGTTACATTAATTTTCATAATTAATCACAAAATTGTGACCGTGAATTTGAATTGTCAAAATTGAACTTAAAAGGCGTCTCTTCACCTCTTTTTAAGTTGTAATTATATTTTAAATATGTTGTAATTAAACGTTGGTTATATTTAAACAGTAGCTCTAAAAATGACTACCAAATCCTGGTCTAGAAGAATAACATTAATTAGTAAT